TCTCCAGGCCTCAAGCTCCAAATGGAGACTCACAGGGACCCCAGACGGCCTGCTTCTGCTGCTGGGCGGGTTACAGGTCTGGGCAGGTCGGGTACCAAAGCCCCTGCCTTCCAAGGTCTGGGAAGGGGGTGGAGATGTTCACGGCATGGGTCCTCACGCCCCGTGGTTCTTTTAGGGTCCCTTAGCCTGCCTCAGAAAGGTTGGCTCACCTCACCTCTCCGGGCTCAGCCGTGCATCTGTGCGTGTGTCCTCCTGGAACGATGGACATGGGGGCCCGGGAACACACCCCGCACGTGTGTCGATAGGCTGGGCGGGTGCCCACTGTGTGTGCCCAGGGCCTAGGTCATGGTCGGTAGCAGCAGTCCTCAGCTGGGACTCTGCTGCCAGACCCTGTCCTGCGGGCACAGGGAGAGCCGCTGTGGTCTGAGAAAACCACTGAATTCATGTGTGGCTCGACTTACACAGACACCTGAGCTACACAGATTTTACGTACATTCCTCAGGAGGAGGAGGAACTAGAACTCGACCCTCCAAAGAAAAAGGCTTGTTAAGATTTCTCTTGTCGGGCGCCTGGGGGGTTCAGTGGGTTAAGCCGCTGCCTTCGGCTCAGGTCATGATCTCAGGGTCCTGGGATCCAGCCCCGCATCGGGCTCTCTGCTCAGCGGGGAGCCTGCTTCCTCCTCTCTCTCTGCCTGCTTCTCTGCCTGCTTGTGATCTCTCTCTGTCAAATAAATAAAATCTTTAAAAAAAGAAAAAAGATTTCTCTTTCCTTGACCATTGGCAAGGTATGGGTTGCCTGGGGGCAGGGCTGGGGAGGGGCAGGGCGACGGAGAGACGGCACCGCATCCTAGAGCATCCAGTTCGCGTGTCCCCTGGCCTTCCCGGTGCAGGCCAGCAGCCTAGCCTCGCCTTCGAGCCCCTCAGCCACGCCACATGCCTTTATTTTGGGAGCTGCTATGACCAGCCTTTGTGCCAGGCACCTTCCCCGCTGGGGCTCACGACGGCTTACGAGGGAGACAGGCCCTCTGATGTGACCACAGAACTTGACTCCATCTCTGCCCTGTTGCCTCTGTCCCCCGAACCTCGGCCTTGCTGGGAGCTCAGAACGTGACCTTGCCTGGGAGAAGTCCGCTGTGGGTACGGAGCGCTGCTGGGAAGAGATGGCCAGGACGGCTGGGAGCCGGAGCCTGGAAGAGGGAAGAGCCACGTGAGGCACAGACGCAGGGAGCACTGAGAAGGGCCCCGGGCGGAGGCGGGAGGGATGCCTACAGGGTCAGGATGTCTACAGGGTCAGGATGTCTACAGGGTCAGGATGTCTACAGGGTCAGGAGCACCAGGGGTGCTGAAGAGATGCCTGGGGCAGATTCTGTCCTGGAGCCTCCAGGAGCCGCCCGAGCCCCCCCGCTGCTGATGCCTTGCTGGCGGGCTCTGGGCCTCCAGGACGAAGCCACCAGACATTCGCGGACTGGGCACGGGTCTGAGGGGAGGCTGCAGCCAGTGGAGCGGTTGGGGGCTGGGCGGGCACACATGGCGCACCAGGGGAGGGATTCCCAGGAGGGGCGTGAAGGTTGCCGAGGGAGGCCCGAGCCTCAGGCACAGCCAGGTTCTGTAAGGCGCTGACTCATCGTCTGGGAATGGCCCCACGGCGGCCTTCCAGCCTTCCAGACTCCCATACTCCGGGCCCACCCAGACCCCAGGAAGCCTCCCAGGCAAGGAGGGGGCTCAGCCCCCTGGGCTCTTGCATAGGACTGGGTGCAGGCGGCCCCTGCACGTCTTTTATCCCCGCTGCCACCCGGTCTCCTGTCGCAGATGGGGAAACGGAGACCTAGGAGGAGACGAGAGGGGCCAGGAGTGTGAGGCTGCCTGGTCCTGGTCTGAACCCCGCACCCTTTTCCATGCACATCCTCGAGGACAGCCCCGTCTGCCAGGGAGACAGGCAGACAGACCGATGACATCATTACTCTGGGAAGGGGTGGCAGGAAATACGAGCGGTGGACTTGGAGGGACCCTGTGGGCATGAAGGGCGAGAAGCACCCCGCCTTGGGGCTTCCCACCAGCGCCGCATGGACAAGGGGGCCTCTCAGGAGTGGGAGCAGCCAGCTGAGCCAAGGAGACACTGGCCCTGACCCGCCACCCCAGCTCCACAGCCTCAAGGCAAGGGCCAGCCCTGGCTGGGGGCGCTGAGGCACGGAGGGATGGCTCAGCTTCCCGAACTGCCATGCGTCAGGCTCCGGGTAGCCCCAGCCAACTCTTCAGAGAACAGGGGGGGCTGGGGAGGAGCGCAGCCACCTGGCAGAGGACTTGGAGGGTCCCCAGCACTGTCCAGCGGCCGCAGAGGTGGCTCCCGAAGGGCCCGACCCCACCTGAACACGGAGCCACTTCCCTCCCCCGATGAGCTCCAAGCCCTCCTGATTCTCACAGGTGGCTGGGCACAGAGCTTGCACTTTCTCCAGGGTTGCCGGGAGACGCCAGAAAGATGGCGTTCGTTCGAAGAATCCATGGGGCTGAGGCTGACACAGGGTGTCCTCACTCCTCGTCTTGCCTTCTCGGTACGGATGCCAGAGCGACTCCGGGTCAGCAACAGCACAGAGACAGCAGGCTTTGGTCCAGATAATAAGACTTGCAAAGTCGCCAACAAAGTGAAACGGGGCTCTGGGTCCTGGGCCACTGGGACCTTTAAGTGGCTTTGAAGTCCTCAGACATTCTGGGGCAGGTCAGGAGCCTGGAGCATGGGGCTCCCCTGGGCCTCTAGAGGGCAGGAGCAGGAAACGAGGGCCCCAAGCCCCGGGAAGTGTGCTTAGCCCACCAGAGGAGCTTCCTTAGTGCAGGGGGAAGGCACCGACCTCCCCTACACCTCCCCAGCCAGCGCTCTGCAAAGGGCTGTCCTTCAGGGTCTCCAGAGCAACGGCACAGTAGGAAGATGGAAGGAAGGAAGGAAGGAGGAGGGACAGATGGACGATGGGCTTTAGGGAACCCGCTCGATCAGACCAGACACCCAGGCAGGGGATGAGGCCAAGGTTTGGAGGCAGGATGTCTTCTCTGAGAACCCCCCGTTTTTATTCTTAGGACCTTAAACCGACGGGGTGAAGGCCAGCCACATGGTGGTGGGTAATCGGGACATCAAGGCAACAGAGCACAGACGTGAACCGACGTTCATCTCACGTGCAAAATCCTGGCAGCACCACACCTAGATCGGCCGTTGGTCAAAGCCCACGTGCAGGAGCCCTGCCAGACCCTGTACAGTTAACCCCACAGCGGGCGGGGACCGAGCTGCGGGAGGGAGAAGCTCACAGGGCGCACAGGGTGCGTTGGACGTCCTGCACACCGGGCGCCGAAGCTGTTGTGTGAGCCGCGGCCTTCGCCCACTTACATCCGAAGTCTGGACTGGGAAGGAGAGGGGTCAGCACTGTGACATGGTCTGTCCCCTCCAGGGAGGATGGGCCAGCAGGTCCAGGAGACAGGGTCCCCGGGAGGGAGGATCCGTGGTGACGGGGGCTGTGGGGGGGGGCGGTCAGCGGTTGAGGAAAGCGAGTTCAGTGAGGTCGCGAGAGCGGGAGGGCTCGGGCAAGGAGCAGCACCCGGGACTGGAACTCACGGCTCCGCAAAGTGGGCCGAGGACGAGGGTGGGGATAACTTCCAGGTTGGAGTTTTGGGAAAGCGCTTTGGAGGATCGAATTCGTGATTCAGGAGGAAAAACACACTTTCAGGAAGAGTCAAGTTTCACGTTGCTGATGTGGTTAGCTTGAAATTCTTGTGCGGGCGTTCAGGTGGGGGCACGTAGATGGCGCAGCAGGAGGAGGCAGGAGTGCCCAGCGGGGGGCACGTGCGACCGCTTAGTATACAGCACCCCGGGATGGCTTATGCTGGTCCTTAGATGACCAGGAAAGTTGCTCCACGTGGTCGTGGGGACAGTGGCTTCAAAGACACACACAGAAGCCTCGGGATGGCAGTTCAGCTGCCCCCAGATGGGGACGCTGAAAACTGTGTGTCACGCAGGCACAGCTCACCCATCCCCAAGAAAGAGCCTGGCCACTCACCTGTCTCACCCCGACACCCTGCGGCGCACCTGGGTTAGAGTGCTGCACAGTGGACACGTTGCAGACCGGGGCTGCAGCTGGACACTGGTTCTCGGTGACGACCCTCATCTGTCAGACGCAGGCATTGGGTTCTTGTGAGACTCAGTGGATAATGCATAGAGCTTCAGAACAGAATTGCAGACGTCTATGTGTGTGACTCGGTGTCCCTCCTTTCCATAGCTCGTCCGGACTGCCGGCGGAGCCACCCAAGTCCCACTTGGGGTGGGTCCAGGGCTCTCCTCTGGGTGTGTCCTCCAGGGAGGGAGCTAAAGGGCCCTGAGCGAGGTCCACCTGGCCCAGCCAATGTCCTCTGTGCTCCAAACAGTGCCCCGGGGCCAGCAAGGGCAGAAAGCGGGTCTCAGGGCACAGGCAGGGGCCCTACTGGCCGGCTTCAGTCCTGTCGCCGCTTGTGTGTGTTCAGAGCGAGCGGAGGGGAGGTTGATAGGCGCAGAGGGATAAGAGAGACTGAGAGAGGGAGAGGGAGAGGTAGAGCGCAGGAGCGAGACAGAGGGGGAGAGAGAGAGTGAGAGGCCCCTTGGAACCGTGCCTGGAACAAAGTGAGCACTTGAACGGCTTCTACAAAACAACGACCAAAAAAAACACCACCACCAAAACCCCGACCCTCTCTCTGCACACATGTGGAGAGCGCAGCTAGCTAGGCGAGATGGCCGAGGCCCCCAGCTCCCAAGTGCAGACCCGGACTTGTCCCCAGGGGCCCCAGCGACCCTCTGCACCAGGGAGCCTCCAGAGACGGCTGCCGGGCGGCCCCTGAGCAGGGTCCAGGTCGCGGCCGCTTCACGCCGGGCCTGAGGTCCCGCCCCGCCCCGCCCCGGCCCTCGGGGAGGGTGCGAAGGGAGGAGCCGCGCGCATGTGCACAGCTGGCGCCCCCCCCCCCCGCCCCCAGCGCACAGCTGGGACGTGGGCCGTGCGGGCGGGCGCAGTCCGGAGCCCGCAGGGTCGCGCCGGGCCCTGCCGGTCCTCTCTCGTCCGAGCGTCGCGCGCCCAGCGCCATGGCCGAGCGCCCCGCGGGCCCCGCGCGCAGCTGCCTGCTGGCGCTCGTGCTCTGCTGCGGCTGGGGGGCGCTGGCCACGGTCGCCCCGAAGTCGGGCGCCGGCTGTCCGAGCCGCTGCCTGTGCTTCCGCACCACCGTGCGCTGCATGCATCTGCTGCTGGAGGCCGTGCCCGCCGTGGCGCCGCAGACCTCCATCCTGTGAGTGCGGCGGGGCGCGGGGCCGGGGTCGGGGGGGACCCGGGCGGGGCACCAGAGCGGGTAGGCAGGGCTCTGGGCTTGGGGCCGAGCAGTGGCCCTCAGGCCTTTGTCCGCCTTGGCCCGGGCGCGGAGGGCGGACCTGAGCGCGGGGCGCGCGGCCTCCGGAGCTTCCTTTGTTAGCAGCTCCGAGTCCCCGGCGGGACGGGGGAGCTGCGGGGGCCGCCCGTCAGAGTGTGTCGCCCCCTCCCTGTGTGTCCGCGCCCCCTCGGCGCCCAGCTCTCCCGCTCCCGCCCCTCTCCGTCCCCGCCCTGCCCGAACGCGGTGTGCGGGTCGCCCCCCTCCTCCTCCCCGTCCCCTTCCCCTCCTCCTCCCCGTCCGCTCCTCCGCGCCTCCCCTCCCCGCTTCCCTCTCCTGTGGTTTCCCTTCTCCGCGCCCCCTTCTCCCCTCTGCGGCCTCTCTCGGTCCCGCTGCAGATGGGTGCACCCCCACGCCTCGCCGTCCTCCGGGACCGCGATAGCCGCGTCCCCTCTTTGGGGGACCTTCCCTCGCGGACCCTCAGGGACCCGTAGCGGCGCCCTTTCCTCCCGCATCCGCTGGGCGCGGAGAGCCTCCTGCCCGGGTGTCCCCGGCTCGAGGGGCGCGCGTCCCGCGGACTTGGACGGTGCCCCAGCGAGCGCGGCCGCCGCGGCGCGAGTCTGCGAGTTCCGGGGTTCGGGCGCGTTTCCGCCGGGGCGCGCCTCTCGCGGGGCTGCCGCACTCGCCGCCACTTGGCGCTCAAGTGGGTACAAAGTGTCGCGCGCTGGGCCTCTGCGCGGCGCAGACACCGTGCGGACCTCGCCCTTCCCCGTAACGCCCCCTCCCCCGAGGCCGACCCCGACCCTCGGCCTCGGCGCAGGCCTAGTGCAGCCTCCAGGGTTCCGGACGCGCCCCTGACGAGGGGCTCTCCAGATCTGTAGAGGCGGGCGCCGGCGGTGTCCGCGTCCTGCCGCTGCCCTTCTGGATGCCAAAAATACTTTCCACTTTTCTTGGCCGAGCCGGACTCCTTTTGGCACCGCCCAAGAGCCTGCAAAAGTTGTAAAATCCCGAGCGAACTGTAGGAAGTGGGCGGAGGGCGTTGAACTGTGAGCCAGTCCGGGCACAGCGCTCCTGGCCACCGACCGTGCCGCCGCGGCCGCGGGGGCCTTGGCGGGAGCCAGCAGCGCTGTTCGTCCACGGAGAGGCTGGGCTCCCTTCCGGAGGGTCCGTGCGGCCCGGGCCTCCACGGGGGCAGCAGGCGGCGCAGCGGGGGTTGTCCGGACAGGGAGAATTTCCTCCCTGGGTCGCGGTAGAAAGCTGGACCCCGAAGCCGCTTTTCACATCTGGCGGGTGCTGGGCTTTGCCGCCACATCTTAATTGTTTTTAAAAAAGAGCCGTACTCTAAGGTACGAGGGTTGCAGAACCAAAAGGGGTCTTCGGCCTACCGCCTGGCGCAATTCGCCACAGAGACCTCACCCGTTTCTAAAATAGCCCAGGGCAAGCCCGGAAAGTGACAAAGTGACCTCGTGGTGAGCCTGCAGGGTTTCCAGACCGCTTTCATTGGCATAAACTTTACCTTCTGTCTGCAGGGATGCTGTAGTTTCAGAGATGTTTTGTTTTTTTAAAGCTTTTATTTACTTATTTGACAGAGATCACAAGCAGGCAGAGAGACAGGCAGAGAGAGAGAAGGAAGCAGGCTCCCCGCTGAGCAGAGAGCCCGATGCGGGGCTCGGTCCCAGGACTCTGGGATCATGACCTGAGCCGAAGGCAGAGACTTAACCTGCTGAGCCACCCAGGCGTCCCCAGAAATGATTTGAAAAGACCGTGTGCTTAGTCTCATGGAGTCCTTGAGGCAGACCAAACGCAGGCTGTGCCAACCAAGTCCCTTGCACAGGGAAGCCAACTTGCACAGATTATTGGTGAAATGAGCACACCCGCTTTGCCACTCTGCAAACCGAGGTCCGGAAGAGGCTGCCAGTGGAGACCCCGGGACCCGGCTGCGGCCCAGTCCTGCTGTGATAGGTTCCCTGGGGGGACATTTTGCAGGTCACTGGACCCTGGACAGAGGTCACAGGAGCCAGGGTAGTCATGGTGGGGGCACAGGCTTTGGGAAACTGAGGGGACAGTCCAGACAGGAGCACCTGGCCGGGACACAGGGACATGAAGAGGAATGCGGCCCAGTTCCGTAGGTGCGGGTGGGGGCCTGGTAGGTGCTGTCATGTGACAGACTGCTCATGCAGAAATATTTAATTTTCCCCTGTGACTTGTCTCCCAGATCTCTGCTCTCATACACCATGATTTTTTTTCCCCTATTTTTAAAGAAATGATTTGGTAGAAATTGGGAACTTAAAAATAAGAAGATAAAGACAGAACCTGACCCCCCAATTAGCTGGACCATGTGACCCTGTACTATCCCTTTGTTTTCAAGACCTCCCTGTTGGCGCCCCCAGGCCCGAGAAAGATGGAGTTGGAACCACTGGTCTGAGTTCCCCCGGCCTCCGGGTGTGTGTTTGAGCCGGTCACTTCCCGGGCGGTTGAGGTTCGTCCCTGGTCGGGGCCTCAGAAATCCTGGTTTGTGGCTGTGCTGGGATTCCAGACTGGTTTGGCCCCAGCTCATGCCCACTGGCGGCATTGGCTGGTGTTCTAGAATGAACCGCACCGGCCCCGCTGTGGTCTGGAGCCTGGGGCTGCGGTGTGCCCCTCTGGTCCGCAGGCTCCCGTCTCTGCCACCTCCAGGACCTCTTTCCCCACCAGCAGCTGCACTTCTGTAGAAATGCTGCTCCGGTTTGGAATGTTCTAGTCTGCTGAGCACCACAGTAGAAGCTCGCCCCCATGATCATTAAAAAGCGAGGACTAAAGCAGTATGACATTTCTGCCCTTCTGGCCCTCCTCTGGGGTTCTGGCCTCGTGCCCTCCGCCCTGCTCGCCCTCCCCCAACCCCTTTCTTCCCCTGTAGCCTCCATTGTGAGGTCATGGGAATCGACTCCCAAAGCTGACATCCATCAGACTCCCCAGGCCATGCCAGACCACCGTCCATGTGACAGGAAGCCCTGGGGCGCAGCCCAGCCCAGCCCCAAAGTAGGGGGGGGTCTGCCCGCCAGACAGCTGTCCCGTTCTGCCGCCTCAGCTTGCTGAGCAGCGGCTGGGTTTGGGATCTGTGCCTGTGTTCAGTCCCACCCCGGGGCACACGTGGTCCCCTGGAGCCCTGGAGAGCGCGGGCCTGCTGGCAGGGGAGGAGGGGCAGCTGGTGCAGGGCTGGCCTGGTGGCTCCTCGGGAAGCTGCTAGGAGGGACCCCAGCACTGTGCACCTGGGGACCCCAGTGCTCCTGCTCCGTGGGTGGGGATCCCAGTGTTCCACGGGTGCCTCTGGGGATGGTGGCGCATAGCAGCCCTGTCTCGTCCCTCAGTCCCTGTGCCCTGGAGATGAGCACTCCCTGCCCCCCAGCCCCTGACAGTCACCCACCTCCCTGGAGCTCCCCAGACTGGGCTGTCAGGAGAATCTCCTTTCCCACCAACTTCTCTTTGCGCAAAGGAGTCTCATGGGAATTCAGCCCCGATGCATCTGTGGGCTGGGAGGCGGGGTGGGGGTGGGGTGGGCAGTGGGGTCCCTCCCGCTGCTCTTCTCTGTGCGCTTCCGTGCTATTGGCTCATAGGAAGCGCCTCACTGCTGACCCTGCCCTCTGGGGTTGCTCTCAGCGCCCGGGGAGGCTGCCTGAGCCCTAGGAAGCCAGTCCGTGGGGCTCCTCTGGGCTCTGCGGGACCCTTGGGGGCCGTGCTGACGTGCGAGCCTTTGGCTTACTTGGAAGAGGTTCCTGATTCTCCGCCTCAGGCTGTGAGGATGAGGTCCGAGTCTTGTTGATCGCAGCTCGGATGTGTTTGACGAGCGCTCTAGGACTCTGAAAATACAAGGTACTGGTGATGTGTCTTCCCAGAACGGTGGCAGACCCACTCCCTGCATGGCGGACGGCTCCTGGGGCCCCTGCGCATGGGCGGCTGCCGCCGTCACTTGCTGGGTGGTCGGAGGAGGAAACTGTTCCGCCTTCAGGGGGACCTCTGAGGGACCTCCCCCTCCCGCCCCGTGCGGCGTTTGCCCTCAGGGAGTGGCTTGTGTGCGGTTCGGGTGTTTGCAGACTGGCTCAGTCCTCCGTGTTTTCACCCCACCGAGGGAAGGGGTGGAAAAGGCTCTTGGGTCCCTGCAGCTCGGCTCCGCGCGCCGGTCCTGTTTCACCAGCCTTCCTTCTCTGCCCGGCCCCGGGACTCAGTTTCCCTCCGTAGAGATGCCCGGCCGCTGTGGGCTTCCCTCCAACGGCCCGGGTGCCACATGGCCGACTCGGTGTCCAGGCACAAGTGCGCGGAGTTGTTCCAGAGCCCGGACTACTCTGCCAGCCACGCCCTCGGGAGGGGGTGAGGGCCCACGGCCGGCAGAGGACACAGGCGACCCTACAAGGGCGTGTTGGGCAGACCCAAGGGCTGTCATCTGCGGAGAGTGAGGCTTCAGCATGACACGTGTCCGCAGAAGCAGAGAAAGTCCCCGTCGGCAAAATGGATCTCATCACGGAAAAGCTGGTAGAAGTCTGGTTTGCGCAGGGCAGGTGACCCCTGGCCCGGGCGTTTTCTCTTTCTGCTGGGAGATGCTGGGCCTCCTTCGGGTGTCGCAGCGGGAAGAAACAAGCAGATGCCTACGGGGCAGCCGAGCTCTGCCGTCCAAGGGCAGGGCTGCGAGGGGGCTGGTCTCCTGGACTCCACGTGCCGAACCCCGCATGTGTGGACCCCATGTCCACCCCCAGATGTGAGAGGGGCTTTACTGGTGTGGACGGTAATCTTACCGACAGCTTAAAATCTTCTAAATTGATCGTTCCGATGGTTTAGATTTTGTCTTGAAGTTAATTTTGAAAAACACAAGTTGTGCTTTCTCCTCCCCCGCCCCTGGGCTTCTCTCCATGCGTGTCCCGTCCGCCAGCAGCCTCGCGGGTGAATCCTGGGAC